ACTGGAGCATCTGAGCTCCAGATCTCAGCAGAAAAACTCACCAGTGACGATCAGCCGACATCTTTCAAAGCCCGAGCCGTGATCAGTCTTCACTTCACACAGATACCAGCCAGAGTCCTCAGTCCTGAGTCTGGACACATGGAGGCTGAGTCGTCCTTCTCTGAGGGCCTCTCTGTCCATCTGGACTCGTCCTAAAAACTGCTCACCCACAGACTCTTCCAGTTCATCACCATCATGGATGAGTTCAGTCAGGAATGAGATGTTGTGTCCCGCACTTAAAAAACAGTAGAACATCAGGAGCGTCCAGGGTGTGTGAGGGTGGGTGGTGAACGTCCACTCCAGAGTGATGCTGTGGGTCTCCTCTGCCTGATAGTGTCTCTGTGTCACATTCACTCCAAACGCAGCCGCTGAGGAGACAGAGGGAAAGAGAGGAGCTCTGAGAGCTGCAACATGGAGTCTGGACACCTGACCCCACTGATCTGCTCTGTGGGAGCAGAGACTGGACTCTGGACCTCAGGAAGGGAAGATGGAAACTGACCACAGACACATGGAGAGAGGATGAGGAGCAGCAGGGTCCAGCAGAGCGTCTTCATCCTGAGAGAGGAGACAGAGGAGACAGAACTAAAATGTTATTAATGATGAAAAATGTCAGAATAATCCTCCAGTTCAACCACATCTGGCTGCTTTTTCTGTTAAAATATTTTACTGCTCGACAAAAAGACAGGAATTATTCCATCAGATAAAGTCAGTGGTGTGCAGCTCTGAAATATTTGAAGGAGAACATCAGCCTGAGTCTGAGCTGCTGGAGAACTGCAGAGAGGAAACAACAGGAAGAAGTAAAAGCTTCATCCTGTGGGCTGTCGTCGTACTAAAGAGGCTTCAGCAGAGGGAGCCAAACTCTGGAGGTAAAACCCAACCAGGCGGGATAAAAGGACGATTCCATGTTGTCAAAAGATTCAAATCATTTATCTACATGTACAATCTGAACTTTCGCTGTGTTCTTTCGCTGCAAAATATATAACGTTTCACACAAGGAAATCCAATAAATGTAAAAAATGTCAAACGAAATTATGATACAACAACAATACAATCAAAGAGAGGTGAAACTCAGTTAGATATTTTCTACTCTTTGGATTTAATGAAAGCTGGTTTGGAGGCTAATTTTCCCTGCTGGTGGTCCTTCTGGTTCTTGTTCTGATCCAAAACCTGTTCCAGCTCTTTACCTTCAGGTTTCTCCCTCCTCCTCACAGCAGACTCACCCTGGTGAGACAGATGAAATGTTTTATGATCCTCCTCAGACAGAAAACATGAACTGATAGAGCTACAGGGACGCTGCTCTGTACTTTATAACACAGAGAAAGAGGAACCACCTCACAGGGACCTAGTTATGTCATGTTCTTCATTCATATCTATTAAAGAGGAACCACCTCACAGGAACAGATGAGTGTGACTGTCATG